CCTAAATGCTCAAGTTTAACCACTTGTCCGCTGAATAGAGATCAACATGGTTCATGTTGAACATGGACATGAAAAATACTTTCTAAGGTAGTGAAATAAGACTTGGTGGCCTACATAACAGAAACTAACCCACAAACAGTGCAATGGCCAAACATAACTTTTGCATCTGATATTGAATAATTGGGAAAAAAAAAAATTGCTGACATGAGAATATGTACAAAATAAATCTGCCATGGATGTAGAACATCCTCAGATCTAGAACTCATAATGGATTTCGTAAAGAAACACCTCACTTAGTGAACAAAAAGCTTCTTTCCCCCTCCCCCCTAATAATGATAAGCAAGGCTGGTTGCTACAATCACTCACCTCTGCATCAAAACCCAAATGAAGATGCATAAATGATTCACATTGAGGGGTCATTTTCATCCCATCCTGGTATGACTTTGGAATGACTTCCTTAGGTAATATATCCAATTTGTCCCGCATAGAGGCGTTACTAACAACAGCCTTCTTAGCTCATACAAACTGCAGCAAATATTTATTTTTATCAATTAATGAATAAGAAAGAAACATAATTCAATCTGAATGAGAAATTCTGTATTTTTGTCACTTAAATCATTTACTCACTTGACCACTCTTAGCTTTACTCCCACAGCTTGACCATTTTCAACAACAATATTTTCCACATGACTCTTGAAAGAGATCTGTCCACCAAATTTCTGTAGTCCACGGACAAGAGCATCAACTGCCCCAGTTCCATGAATGGGATACTCCAGACAGCAACCTGGCTTGTACCATTCTGCAAACATGTATACCTGAAAAGATTGAAGCACAAAATTATTATGTTATCAATAAAATATGCAGCACAAGTATACCTATATTTCATAATCATACCACAGTTCAAACAAAATCAAGAAAGCATACCATTAGATTTCAACCCTGCAAGCAAGAAAGCCAGAAGATCTATCCAATTTCGCATAAAAGGCTCTTTCAGCTCGAATGAGTCAACTATTTCTGAGAAGGGTCTAAGAGGCTTCATAGCATTAAGGGCTCCCTGAGGTCCCATTTGGGCAAAGGATTTCAAGAGAGAGGGGGCATATCTATTTGCAGCAGTGGATAGAACACCCCAATCACCTCGAATAAATAAAGGTGGCAGAGCCATTGCAGCTGCAGACATTGGCAGTATAGCATCCTGTACAGAAATGCATTTTATATTCTTGATAAGAGCAATAATAGGGAATCAAGAAGGCAACTTTTGCAAAATCACGTATTCAGGATATTTGGCAATCTGTTAATCATTTTTATGTGATTTGGCATTGAGCTTTTAGCTTGATATATTGGACAACCTCAAATACAAGGGAAGTAAAATTTTTGGCTTATTCTCAATTTTGAAAAGAAAATGATAGCAAAGATTTTCCTTTTCTACTTTATTTAAAAAAAATTAAAAACATAGCCTTTCTATATTTAAGAAAAAGAAAAAAAAGGCTGATGAGGAATAGAATATATATTCATATATACACTTACAGGGTCGCGCAGCATCAAGACTTGAATACTTCTCAAGGTCCTGAAGAATGATTAGAAGTCATATGAAGCAATTTTCCAAAATTAAGAGAACACAATAACAGGGCTATAAGTGATTTCTTGTTTCAAAAAGTTCATCTCAGTCATGAAGGTGAGGCAGCTACATATATGCGATTGATTGTGTCTACTAATCTCCAAGTATTTTTTTTTAGTTTATAAGATCCATAGGAAAATTGATTACTGAAATGTCTTATCATAAAGTTTTTTTATCCTAGTGTTTTAGGTTTCATAAAAGTTATAGAAAAACCAAAATTGTAGACTCTTTCTTTACCCTTCATATGGTGTGCCATGGAAATTAGGTATGAATGGTGATTCATGCAGGGTAACTTGGCTGCATTGTGAAGAAAAAGAAGAAGAAGGAGAAAGGAGCTTGAAGTTCACAAAGTTTAACCAAAATCAAAAAACACAACCTCAAATCCTTACAACTCAACTCTTTCAAATAGAAAGATTACAAGGATTTTTATGGGCTGCTATATACTTCTACTACCTCAACTAAATTTTGACTTCTTATAATATATTAATATTCAAAACCTAACGTTGGCCAAATATAATTCCCAAAAATGTAAACAAAGGCCCATATCCAAAAAATTTAAAGACTGCCAACTCAAACTCGTGATAACTAATAAAGCTAGAATTGATTTCAAACCAACAACCAACTAACCCATAGAAACCTAAAAACAAGACTCAAATTAAACCAAAAAATAATTGTAAAAGTTCAAATAGGTCCCCATGTGAAATTTTCAATCTGCCTCTGTTCTTTTATCTATACTTTGCTCACCTAATTTAGTAATTTTCATAATGGTGAGATTGAAATTTTTTTCAGTTCTTATCAAACCATAAACGCTCGGTAGCAACTTTAACAAAAAATATATATATTCCTTTGGTTAGTTTTTCTTTAATTATTTGAGGAAGCAAGTCAAATACGCACGATTTTAATGGCTAGAAAATAAAAAAGTGTTTCATATGTATTTTGGAAAACAATATAAATTTTACTTGTTTCAATCATCAATCAGAAGTGTAGCAAAAACCTAGGACGATGACCCATGAAATTAAGAAATAGAATCAATCTAAAATGATACCAGAAGTGAATATTGAGTGTCCACCTTAAAAAATTCAGTTGGTCAAATGCATGATAAGAAGTCACCTTCTGGTAAGTAAACCATCCAAGAGTCATAATTGGCACAAGGAATTGACTCACCTAATGCATCCAAAACCTAAAAATAGAACAGATGCAATAGTTATATTTTTTTCACATGGAGTCCACGAATCTAACTTCTTGCAGCTTCCAAGTAGAATCTATGCTAAAAAGAGACACATCCATTAATCGTCACTTTGTCAGTTTCTACTGTAACCTTCGGAAATAGCATACACGTGATTGTTAAAGACAAGTACCATACACCACCAAATATTCTTGTGTCCATCAAAAAGTTCTTACATAGATGGAATAGACAGAAAATATGCTATCACAGATTACATAACAAGGTTAATTAATGAGAATGAAGCAACACAAGGAATTGGATTTAATGACGTCAATGCAATGACATTAAATGTATTCCACAAAGAAAGTACAACATCTATTGAGAAATAGAATCATTCCTGCCCTTCACTGAATAGTCAACCACCCACCGTGATCAATTACTAATGCAGTCCATTGAATTTTAAAATTGTTGCCAAAAATCAGCTTGGCTTTCATCATCAACAGTGATGATGAATAGCTAGATAGAATAGGATGAATGGATAAGGAAGTGCAAGGTTAAAATTTTAAATAATTGTAGATCCCAGAGAAAAGTGCAGAATATGTTTATTTGCTTAGTAATCTAAATTCCCACGTGACTAATTCTTTCATTTCCTTGCAAGCACACAGTTTGTTTATATTCTTTTCATTCATTTCCATACTAAATAGCCCAACAACGAAGAACTTCCTTTCAAGCGATTGAACACATGCCAAGGAGATAAATGTTGCTACTGCATTCTTTTTGCTTTCCCTAGGTTTAGCCCCACTAGCAGTCATAACTAACCTCAACAAAAAGGCACTCACCACCAGTCCTTCCCACTTCAAATTCTCTCTTTTTTTTATTATTATTAATGATACTAGTACTTGAGTTGCATCCCCTATATCAGCTTATGTTTGAGTTGTACCCTTTCTATTATTAGCTTAAGTTTTTTGAAGGGTCGGTTGTTTGCATTTTTTTTTTATATAAATAAATATCTTTGGCATAATTAAAGGGAGGATTTCAAATATATATAAAATATTATCATGAAATACATTATTGAAGGAAGAACTTCAGAAAATATTTAAATATATATGTTTGTCATCATGTGCTACATTATATTATTAATTGTCCATCACATAAATTATGATGAATTGAGTTGTCCGATGTAGAATTCAAAAGGTAATAAATAAATAAAAAGAGCCTCAGGATGCATTTCAGTCATTTTTCAGTTGTATTTTTCTTTTATAGATGTGTGGGTGTATTTTCATGTGGGTATAGTTGCATATCACTAATGGAAGTCAATATAGTTGCAAGCTATAGGCTAGCTTCTAGCCACTCAATAGTTCAAATACTTTAAAGGGTTTGGCTTCTCTCAAGTTGGCCATCTCAATTTGAGAAAGCATTGGGCTTGGTAGGCCCATTTTGGGACCAATTTCGGTGATTCGAACCGTTCACTTTTTAGGACTCGTTGAGTAGAATATTCATGCAAAAAATCAAGATGATCAAATATTGATATCTATATGTTTAAATCAAATTTGTATTACCAAAAAATAAATGGCTATTCTTGAAATTATATTTGTAATCCAATTTTTTAAACCAAATATGATTCAAACATATGGCCACTGATGTCTAATCATCTTATTTTTTGCATGAATATTCTACTCAACAAGTCATAAAAAAGTGAGTGGTTCTGATCATATAAATCGGTTCCAAAATGGGCCTACTAAGCCCAAATGCTTTCTCAAGTTGAGATGACAACTTGAGAGAAGCCAAACTAAATATGATCTTTTCTTGTCTATAGAGTACAACCAGTAAATGCTATGCAGTGAAGTTAATTGCTGTTATAACATATGGCCACTGATGTCCAATCATCTTATTTTTTGCATGAATATTCTACTCAACAAGTCATAAAAAGTGAGCGGTTCTGATCATATAAATCGGTTCCAAAATAGGCCTACTAAGCCCAAATGCTTTCTCAAGTTGAGATGATAACTTGAGAGAAGCCAAACTAAATATGATCTTTTCTTGTCTATAGAGTACAACCAAGCCTAAATACTACCTTTATTCAGATAAGACTGCATTTATGTAAGAAGTAAGGTGATATGAAAAGAACAAATTACTTGTGCTAGAGGATTAGCCTGAGGGCCACTTGATTGGAATAAGGAGAACAAAGATGGACAGGAGTCGAATTTGTAGCCCTTTTTCTCAAATGAGTGAGCAGCACCCCCAGGCAAACTATGGCTTTCTAACACTAAAACATCTTGCTGGTATCTAGATAGAAGTCCTGCACAACATAGTCCAGCAATTCCACTTCCAATTACAACAACATCTGCCTCTGGCTTGCCTGCAGATAATTTGACACGTTCCTTTAAATTAGAAGACCTAAATAATGCTAAGGAAGCAATTTAAACTCTAAAGAATCTTTCCACTATAATGAAGCCCAAATCTTAGACTAAAATGTGCAAAATTTGGTTTGGAATTATTTTACTTCTCTATGAAATTTTCAAATCACGAATGAATTAAATTGGGCAATAGTTTATTTTTAACATTTCCCACTAGGAGAAAACCCTTGAATTAACCAAGGTGCATTTGCGGGAAACTCCTTGCAGAGGACCTGTGTACCCCTGGGGATTAGTCGGACTTTGATCCGAACACCCCGGTGCCAATCAAAAAAACATTTCCCACGTATCTAATCTAGTTGCATCATAACTTTCCACACCGACCAGAGAGTCCTAAGAGGGGCCATAAGAAGCACTAGAAGACCGTAAGCTTCCTAAATAGGCAATGGCCCTTGTAGAAAGTACATCAAGGAATACATACAGACCTAGCAATCACACAATGAGGTTCCTTTACAGATGTTTACTGTTACTGTTAGGGAAAATATGTGATTCCCCACAAGTAAATCAACCAATGGGAATAAAAACTAATGCGAAAAAATTAAATATGTGATTCCCCACAAGTAAATCAATCAATGGGAATAAAAACTAATGCGGAAAAATTAAATCAAAAGCGACACAAGAATTTTTACGTGGTTCCCTTAATGTGAGGTATGTCCACAGGATCGAAATCTGATTCCACTATCAACCAAAAAGTTTCCAAACGATTACAAACGAGGCACGAATGGTCTCACAAAACCACCCTTAGGTGAATTCCAAATAATCACAAATAAACAAGGGGAAAGACCTCACCAAATAGATGAACAAAAAACCTTTAAACCAGAATTGTAGAAGATCCAAAATAATAATCCAAATCAGTGTCACTAAACATCAACCGAAACCACACCACCGAATCAAAACCGCAGAACCATGCTTGTCACAATGATCATAAAAGTTGGGTGCTCACCTTCGGAAAAGAATACCAAAAATAGGGTAGCCGCGCGATACTAATTTTTCTTGGAAGACTAAGACAATATATATATATATATATATAATGTTAAATCTTGGACTTGTTTTATCAAAACCCTAGTTGTATCCAAATTGAATTGGGTTTCCACAAATTAGATATAATATATAAAAATATATTATAACTAATATCAAACCAAATTAAACTCTTTTAATAAACCAATTAGGTCCCACACTCCAATAAGGAAGTATACCCAACAATTCTCCCCCTACCGACTTAGATGGAGATATCAACCATACCCGCCAAAGTTTGACACTTCAAATGTTTGTCAATCGACAAAGCCTTAGTCAACATATCTGAAATATTATCATCTGTGTTTAGGTGGAGATATCAACCATACCCGCTAAAGTTCGACACTTCAAATGTTTGTCCCTTGACAAAGTCTTTGTCAACATATCCGAAATATTGTCATCTGTGTGAACCTTTTCGAGTTGTAACAACTTTTCGAGTTATAACAGTTTCGAATCTAACACATCATGAATCCAATGGTATCTCACATCAATGTGTTTTGATCTCGAATGAAAAATAGAATTTTTGCTCAAGTGAATAGCACTTTGACTATCACAATAAAACACATACCTTTCTTGCTTCAAACCCAACTCTTGCAAAAATTTCTTCCACCATAACTCTTCTTTGCAAGCTTCCGTAATGGCAATAAATTTAGCTTCGGTAGTTGAGAGAGCAACACATTTTTGTAATTTAGATTGCCATGCCACAGCTCCCCCTACAAATGTCATCAAATACCTCGAAGTAGATTTCCTAGAATCAATATCACCAGCCATGTCAGAATCTGTGAACCCATCAAGCATCGACTTACCATCCCCAAAACACAAACACACCTTCGAAGTCCCTTGAAGATATCTTAGAATCCATTTTACCGCTGCCCAATGTTCTTTACACGGATTAGAGAGAAACCGACTCACCACACCAACGGCGTGAGCAATATCCGGCCTTGTACAAACCATGGCGTACATCAAAGAACCAACTGCTGAAGCATAAGGAACTTTCTGCATCTCTTCCTTGTCTTTCTCACTTGTAGGACATTGATTCGAACTAAGTTTGAAGTGACCAGCAAGTGGACAACCAACCGGCTTTCCTTTATTCATGTTGAACCTCTCAAGAACTTTCTCAATGTAACTTTCTTGAGACAACCAAATCAGCCTATTTTTGCGATCACGAACAATTTTCATACCAAGTATTTGCTTTGCCGGTCCCAAATCTTTCATAGCAAACGACTTGCTCAACTCCAATTTCAAACTGTTAATCATGGTAGAATCTTGATCCACAATTAACATGTCATCAACATAAAGTAAAAGAATAATAAATTGACCATTCGGGAAATTTTTCACAAATACACAGTGGTCTAAAGTGGTTTTAGAAAAACCATTATTCATCATGAAATAGTCAAATTTTTTGTATCATTGCCATGGGGCTTGCTTGAGACCATACAAACTTTTCTTTAATTTGCAAACAAATTTCTCTTTTCCTTTTTTCTCAAAACCTTCCGGTTGCTCCATGTAATGTTCTTCTTCAAGGTCACCATGAAGAAATGCGGTCTTCACATCAAGTTGCTCAACTTCAAGGTTCATACTTGCAGCCATGCCAAGCACAACCCAAATAAAAGACATCTTCACAACCGGAGAGAAAATCTCATCAAAGTCAATGCCTTTTTTTTGCCCAAAGCCTTTCACAACAAGATGTGCTTTGTACCTCAGATTCTTGCCATCATTCTTCAATTTGAAAACCCATTTATTTTTCAGAATTTTCCTCTCCTTAGGCAACTTTACTAAATCATAAGTGTGATTTTCAAGTAAGGAATTCATCTCCTCTTCCATTGCCTTTTTCCAATCATCTTTCTTAATATGCTCAATTGCTTCTTGATAGCTCTCAGGCTCCCCTTGATCAAAAATCAACACAAATTCATTGGGAGGATACTTTCTTGAAGGTTGTCGGTCCCTTGTAGATTTTCTCAACTCAAGTTGGGGTGGCGGTTCTTGAGTTGGATGCTCTTCCTAAATTTCTGGCTCAACTTCATTAGGATTAGCATCATCCTCCACATCTTCAATAGGTGGCTGCATATTTTCCCCATTTTCATCATCAACTGAAGATGAAGGAGATGGATCCATGTCAATGAGATCACTAGTTTTTGGCTCCGGTTGATCACCTTCGCCAAAGTTTTCAATTGTTTGGTCTTCAAGAAACGCAACATCACGGCTTCAAATGACTTTCTTGTCAACCAAAAAGTTTCCAAACGATTACAAACAAGACACGAATGGTCTCACAAAACCACCTTTAGGTGAATTCCAAATAATCACAAATAAATAAGAGGAAAAACCTCACCAAATAGATGAACAAAAAACCTTCAAACCAGATTTGTAGAAGATCCAAAATAATAATCCAAATCAGTGTCACTAAACATCAACCGAAACCACACCACCGAATCAAAACCGCAGAACCATGCTTGTCACAATGATCATAAAAGTTGGGTGCTCACCTTCGGAAAAGAATACCAAAAATAGGGCAGCCGCACGGTACTAATTTTTCTTGGAAGACTAAAACAATATATATATATATATATATAATGTTAAATCTTGGACTTGTTTGATCAAAACCCTAGTTTTATCCAAATTGAATTGGGTTTCCACAAATTAGATATAATATATAAAAATATATTATAACTAATATCAAACCAAATTAAACTCTTTTAATAAACCAATTGGGTCCCACACTCCAATAAGGAGGTATACCTAACAGTAACCTCTCATCTCTTAAACATTTTTGCTATCAAGGATTTTGTGGTTTCCACAAACCAAATTGATTTTTGGATAAGGATGCCAATGCTAGGTACATGATCAACAATACCCCAGAATTCAAAGAAGAGTAGATGGCTATGAAAGAACTTTAGACAGTACAACAATGACATGCTCATTACTTAGGTTGTGTTTGGATCATGGATATGGGTATTAATTTGGGTATTAAACTAGCATTTCCTTGAAACATCCATGATACAAACACAAGCAAATAGCACTCCTCTAAAGTAATTGTTAGCTCTCACTAATTTTGTATTGAGGACAATGCTACTATTATTATAAATAAATAAAATTAAATAAAATTAAATATCATATAACCCCTCATGATATGTTTAGTAAATTTGGGAGCGAAATTAATTGACTGATTTAACATCAATTCAAAATATTGGAACCAAAACTTGATAAAAATGTTTTTTTTTTCTTGTCTAAATAAATAAATAATGCATTATCATGAGCCTCAACTTCAAGGCCTCAAAAATCTATCATTGTCTTCTTTTTTATTTAATACAAAAACCTTAAAACATTCCAACACCTATCTACGCAACCAACCCTCAACTATTCTTATTCCACAAGAAGAATAAGACATAGCACTATGTTTTACCAGATTAAACCAAATTGACCCCCTTTTAATTTCTCATATGCTTAGTCTACTCATATACATTTTCATTTTATGAGAGAGAGAAGACCTGGGAAAGATGTGTTTTGAGTAGTGGGAGTAGGAGGAGAAGGGTAACCATTGGAGGAGAGTTGAGTGCTAGGAGCCTTTTCCCAAAATAAGCCAACCTACTAACATATTTCCCAAACTAAGCCTAGTTTGGCCAAAATTTCCAAAATAAGCTGACGCGTGTTTCCAAAACACGCTTTCAGCATGTTTCTGGCCCAGGCACACAAAATGAATAAAATCATAAAAGCATGGTTACAAAACATGTTTTTAATTAAGAAAACGTTGTTCCTATTAGCGCTTTCATCTTTAGTGAAAGCGTGTTTCAGAATCGCTCTTTTAATAGAAAGCGTGGTTAGAAAACATGCTTTTAAAGAAAATTTGCTTTTAAAATAAAGCATGGTTTTTAAAAAGTTATATAAAATGGCCACCCCCCTCATTTGCAACCACACTTTTTATACACTTCGTTTTTTTTTTCCTCCGAACCAGTTTCCCTTTGTTCTCCCTCTGCTCTCTTTCTCTCTATGGGTCACTCTCTGCTCTCTCTCTCTCTCTCTCTCTCTCTCTCTCTCGCTGGTATGACTGTCTATATGTCTGTCTCTCTCTCTCTGTCTCTCTCTCTCTCTCTCTCTCAGTTTGAATTTTATATGTGTTGATTTTGTTTGTGAAAATGTGAATATGGGTACAATGTGGGTAGAATAGGATTCGTGAATGTGAAAATGTTGTGAATTGAAATTGATATCAATGTGGGTAGAATAGGGTTTGTGAATTGAAATTATGGTTTTGAATTAACAGAATAAACCGTAACCGTAGCCGTAGCCGTAGCCCTAGCCCTAACCCAATTTTAGGGTTTCAAATTGAACCCTAGCCCTAACCCAAAGTTTGTAATGCAAATTGAATCCTAGCCCTAACCCAATTCTAGGGTTTTCAATTGAATTTGAATCCACAAATTAGGGTTAGGGTTTTTTTATTTTTTATTTTTTAATTCACAATTGAATTCTAGGGTTTTCCTAACATCCAAAATTTCCCAAATTAAACATTTAATCAAAATGACTACTAGTTTATGTCAAAGATCATAAATATGAGTAGTTATCCCTACCTCAAATTTCGGAGCTCAAAGGAGATGATGAACCAACTCGAAAGTGCTCTAAACCCCAAGATTTTCATATCAAAAAGGAGATCTTGCAAAGCTCTATCACTTTAATGAAGGCACAAGGATTGGGTCTCACTAAACCAAGAGCAAAATGTAGCGAGAGAGAGAGAGAAGCTCTCAAAATAAGGTTTTGAAAAGGTAGAGAGAGAATGGCCCAGAAAAGTGATTCAAAATGCCAAAATTCGGACTGATATAATACACAGTCCGCTCGAGCGGGGAACGCCCCGCTCGAGCATCAAACACAGACTTACACTCGAGCGTGAAAAACACCGCTCGAGCGTCGAATGCACACTTCCAGAAGTTCTGCAAACGATGGTCCCCGCTAGAGTGTGAAAGTGGACGCTCGAGCGTCCGATGACCTGCAGAACAAAATACTGAGAGATGAATAATCCCGCTCGAGCGTCAAAATGCCCGCTCGAGCGGAGAAGCAAAAACAAAGGGCCCGCTCGAGCGTCAAAAGCCCCGCTCGAGAGTGAAGGCCAAAATCTAGGCATCAACTTTTGGTTTCTAAACACAACCAACCTGTTCCAAACCTGCCCAACACAACCCAAGACTCAAATATAAAGAGTAAAGGATGAAAATGAGAATAAGACAACAACATAACCACGGAACCAAGTCCGAAATACAATAAACAAAGGAAGGGAAAATCGGGATCGCTATAACAAATTTAATATTTTTCTTATATATTTTGCTCATTCTGTATATATTTGATATATCTAATTGGAAGGGTCGCACCAATGATGAGGACAATGAATTATTTTAGAGCCCATCCACATTGACTAAGAGTTGTTCCATATTTTCGGGTCAATGATTGTTGTCTTTGTTGAACCTTTAGTCACTGTGAAGTAAAAATTCGTAATGAGACAATGAGATGCCCCATATTCCAGGACAAAGCCTCAAATACAAGCTCAAATGTCACTAAAGTTGTCTAAATAATTGCACCTCGTATAAATATATACTTATTTGTTGCTCTGATATGATATATTTGGGTTTGACTATTACTTTTGTGACGCCAATTTTCCAGTACATCATTAAATGGTCAGTGTTTACCAAAATTCAGTACACAATTTTTAAAAATATAAAATTATATGAAAACAATAATTTAAATGCAAAAAAATTTTACTTAAATGTTACTCTTCTTATATTTTTAATTGCAAAGTTACTAATTAAACTTGCATAATGAAGCTTATCTATTATATCATGGATAATATAATAAACTGCAAAATTACTAATTAAACATTACTCTTTTTAATTTTTTTTTTGTTTGGTTGCTAGCTGAATTAAAAATAATAATTTTGGACCTTTTGGATTTGGACTCCATTTGAGTGAGGTTATTAAGAATATTTTAATTTTGAACTTAGTATAAGATGTATAAATTTTTTGGATCCCAATTTTTACATAATTTTGAATTTAAACTTTTTGTTTTAAAATGATAGACTCAAAATTAAGAATGATAATGGGGCAGGCCATTGTAGGGATCCACTCATATCAGATTGAGGGAGATAAATGTGGACGAGGTAATTTTATAATCTTAAGGATTGCGACATTAATAAAAATGAGAGACGATATAGTATATTATAGATAATAATTTATAGGTCATGCTAAGGGTTGTTAATAAGTACCCATAACAAGATTAAAAAAATTATAATCCCAATACATTTTCCCATATATTCCAGAATATTTTTACACATTTCAATACACTTTTAATATATATGTTACACAGTTTTTCAACACCATCAATAAGTGTTAGGGCTTATCTATATAAATAATAATAATAATAATAAGCCTTAGGGCTTTTATTAGCATTTTTCATAAATTATAAAATATGAGACTTAAAAAATGAAAAATGAAGAAATGAAAATGAGTGTTTTAAGTATAATATTTAAGTGTTTTAGTCTTATTATATTTAAAAAAAATTAAATTATATATATTATATAAAACTATATTTGATTAGTATAATAGAGATGGGGTGAAAATAGAAAAATGAGTCCCCACAGGTAATTCTGTTTAAACATCCTTACTTATCTTAGTATATACCATTTATTCATTTTACACCATACACAAATTAAAACTTTTAATTTTGTCTCAATACACATCATTTCACACCATAAACAAATTAAAACTTTGATTAGTATAATGGAGATGGTCTATGTAATGGATGCCGGGCAAGAGGAGAGGAATGCTATAAAGGTGGTGATGATCGGAAGGGAGGGAGGTGAGTGCCAGTGGTCAGAAATGACAAGTCACAAATTACCATCTCTATTCAAAACTCAATTAAGTTATTATATTTGAATTTTGTATGTAATTTATTTAATTTTTTAGGTACACTCTGTACGAAATAGAATATTGTGGTGTGTTCCTATGGGTTGGATTGAGATTTTTCTTCTAGGTGGACCTATGATGAGCTCTTACCATAAAAGTTCTTGAAGTGGACAAGTCACAATTTTTTTTTTGGTAACATACCAGTTTTCTAACAAATGTAAAATATACCTAACTTATGCAACACAGAAATATGTGCAAATGTTATAAATTTATAAATTTATATTTAAACTTTTAGATAGTTTTTGATAAATAAAAAGAATTATTTAACAATGTTAGTCGGTTTGATTAATAGGAAAAATCATTTAGCAAATATTAAATATGATAGTGATTGTATGTAGAACGTGTTCCTTCTTTTCTTTTTTTTTTTTTAAATGTGACATCCTTCATTTATATAATAGAATACATTGCATGTCTATTTGTGTCAAAATTACAATATCAAATTTAAATTTTAGTGCAAGTCTTAATTATTTATTTATTTATTTATTTTTTTTTGGGAAAACACAAGATTTAATATATTATACATCTAACAATAAGTCATCTAATAAAATAAGTCTGAGTACAAAATATAAAATAAATCATAAATGGAGAAAAATAACCTTCACGCAGAAAAGATACGAGTCTCTACATAGGGAGTAAAAAAAAACTCCATGTAGAGATGAAACCTCTACAAAGAGAGAGATTATTGCAACACAAAATAAAAATAAAAAACAAAAAACAAAACGATCACCACCAAATAAATAATACCAATCACCTTAATGATCTGGTCATTGTCATAACTGATAGCTTTGATACTTTAATTTCTGCATCTACGTTACAAAATAAAATATTTTGGATCTGAGATGGTTGCTTAGCGTATAACAACACGTTTAACAATATCGAATCTGGATTATGAATTAGATCTGAGTCAAGATCTAAAAGTTTCCTTAGTGGTAAGCCAATGATGGAGGCAACAGGAGTGATAGTGGCTAGTATGGTGATAGAAACAACAGGAGAAAAAATAGAGGGGGAAGGAATGCCAAAATACCACCTTTTCCTCCCTAAAGAGCATATAAAAGAAAGAGAGGTTAGAATTTGTTAGGGAAAGAAACGAAATAGAATTTCTTTACGAGTTTTATTAATGTGTGTTTTTAGGTCATTTGTTAAGATGTTTAATATAGCGATTCCGGTTTTACCTTTCTGCATTTATTGTTTTCCGGACTTTTGTTCCCTGATGTTGGTGGTTGTATACCTTGTTGTCATCCTTTAATTCCGCTTGATTGAGTTTTAGGATGTATTGGGCAGAGTTGTTACAGGTTGGTTAGACTTTGGTTTCAATTCCTTGTTGCCCAGTTTTTAGGAGGTCCGCTCGAGCGGGTCTTCTTGCGCTCGAGCGGAGATTGCACACTCCCAGTATTTTCGTTGTCTGCAAAACTCCTGCAGGTGTGATTTCTACGCTCGAGCGGATTTCCTGCGCTCGAGCGGGCTTGTTGGAGCTTGAGTGGGTAGTACATTTTTGGTGTAAGTTCTAGGAGGGGGAAATCTACGATCGAGCGGACTGGTTTTCGCGTTCGAGCGGATGTACATTATTCTTGTGTCTTGGAGCTCGAGCGGGCCTTCTTGCGCTCGAGTGGACCTAGTTTT